TATTTAAATAGAGGCTTGCCTATGCTGCAAAGTTCTGTCCCTTCTCAGAGCTCCCAGCACCCTGGCTTCAGGCTTTAGCAGTTGGGAAAGCCCACCACTGAGTGTGGGTACTGGCAGTGACTTTTGTGGAGATGAGAGCCTCGCCTCGGGACAAGCAGGATGGATGTTGCCTCCTCACCCAGTGAGAAGCCAGTGTGGAAAGCCTGGCACACATAGGCCCTATTGGTCAGTCCAGGGCCAGACCTGGTACACACAGGCCCTGCTGGTCAGCCCAGGGCCAGACCTGGCACACACAGGCCTTGATGGTCACCAGGGTTGTGCCCAACACCACGCAGCTCTGCAAACCACAGGGCGATCCGAGAAGCACTCCGACTCCACACCTGCTTCTGTCAGGGGAGCTCAGACCTGGAAGGACAGATGAACATTAGTCGACACCATGGGCCCAGCCCAATATCCAGGGGCCTCTGTAAGCAGGAGCCATTCAGAGACTCTGAGAGTAGGAAATCCAAACTGCCATGGGAGAATCAGCATGGAGTTGCAAAGGCCAGTGGAAGCCACAAGTTAAACCCCCACCCGGGTGAGAACCTTGTCCCTCCCTCCCTTGGCCCTTTCAGGGACATGGACACTCCTCATAGGGTCCCCAGACCAGCACCAAAACCTGAGAGGCCCACCCCTACCCAGCCCCACGGTAAGGTCAACCACACCAAAGGGGTACAGTCATGTGGAGTGCCACAGCCTGCACCAGAGCTCTGTGGCTGTGAACAGGTCCAAGCACAGCCTTCTGGTAGTTTCCCGACTCACACATTCTACGGAATGAGCAGCAACTCGAACCTGCTGATCTGCATCTTGTTTCTTTCCTAAAGGGTAATACAACGTCCTACCCAGGTCTTTACCCTTAGGATGACGCTTAGAACCATCAAGAGCCTCCCGGCCCTGTCACTGTGTAACTGTGGGTCCCTCAGCCAGCATCATACCCTCTCTGAGGCTCAGATTTTTTTTTTTTTTTTAGTCTTTTTGAGACAGGGTCTCCCTGTAGCTCCAGCTGTCCTTCCTGGAACTCACTATGTAGACCAGGCTGGCCTAGAACTCAGAGATCCACCTGCCTCTGCCTCTGGAGTGCTGGGATTCACGCTCAGCTGTTTTATCGTCTTTTCTGTGACCTCTTCCTGAGGATATATGAATCAACATCTCCACCTCAAGTAGGGCACTGATGACAGACCAAAGAAAAGATTCCACTCAGGTTCGGAGCTTGGCAAAGCAGTGAGTTTATTGGGCTTACCAGGAGCATGGGTGTGGGTGGTTCTAACACTGCTGAACTGAAAAATCCCAACTTTTCCAAAGCAAAGTGGAGTCCCCTTCTGTTACCATTGTACCCTCTGCTACTGCAGTGCCTCGGATGCCCCAAGACCGCCCCGCCGTGCGGAGAGTCGGTACCGCCGTGCGGAGAGTCAGTACCGCCGTGCGGAGAGTCGGTACCGCCGTGCGCCACAGTCAGTACCGCCGTGCGGAGAGTCGGTATCGCCGTGCGGAGAGTCGGTACCGCCGTACGGAGAGTCGGTACCGCCGTGCGGAGAGTCGGTACCGCCGTGCGGAGAGTCGGTACCGCCGTGCGGAGAGTCGGTACCGCCGTGCGGAGAGTCGGTACCGCCGTGCGGAGAGTCGGTACCGCCGTGCGGAGAGTCGGTACCGCCGTGCGGAGAGTCGGTACCGCCGTGCGGAGAGTCGGTACCGCCGTGCGGAGAGTCGGTACCGCCGTGCGGAGAGTCGGTACCGCCGTGCGGAGAGTCGGTACCGCCGTGCGGAGAGTCGGTACCGCCGTGCGGGAAGGCGCGGCCGGGCTGTCGGGCGAGGGGCTGAGGACCCGTGCGGTGGGTGACTGCGGCTCTTCGGTGCCGGCAGCCCGGACCCTCCGTGCCCGAGGCCCAGGGGCTGAGCTGGCGGAGCGAGGCCCCGGCTCCAGGCCCCAGAAGCGGGAAACGCCGTGGCCGCTGTCCGGGACTCCGGGCCCTGAGCTTCAGCCCAGCGCCGGGCGGCGGCGAACAGCGCTCGTGCCCGAGCCGGGACGCGCCAGGGCGGGGGGTCCGCGAGCCGGGAGCCAGCGCTGCAGCGGACCGACGGCGGAGCCGGCCCTGCAGGCCCCGCGGGACCCGGAGCAAGGCCGCTGACCGAGGCCGGCCCTTGGCCTCCGCAGGGTTTCGGGTCACCACTTCAGCCCCCACCCGCCGCTCTCCGGAACGCCCAGCCACTGCTGCCCCCAATGGCTGCTGCCCCAGCCGTCCGCCAGATACCACCCCACTGCCGCCTCCCGTCCGCACGGCTCCCACCCTCCTACTGCCCCCTTCCTAACCCCAACCCTTCCTAACCCCAACCCTTCCTAACCCCAACCCTTCCTAACCCTAACCCTAACCCTAACCCCAACCCTTCCTAACCCTAACCCCTAACCCTAACCCTAACCCCAACTCACCCACGGATGCCCCTCCCCCACGGCTGCTCCCCCCACGGCTGCTGCCTCCACTGTCTCTTCTTGTTACTGGCTCAGTCCACTTTACAATGAGAAAGATCAAAACTGGGTAAGAAGCTGGGGAGGACCTCTGAGATCAAAGCCAACCTGGTCTCCATAGCGAGTCCCAGCAGGGAGACTGTCTCAAAAAGATAAAACCAAAAAAAGTAAGGGACTGTTGCGGAGCCTCGGTGGTTGAAGGCACCGGCTGCTCTTGCAGAAGACATGGGTTCAGTTCCCAGCACCCACAGGACAGCTCATGGTGGGAAGAACTTTTTGGAGAATCCTTTGTGTTACAAATGGGAATCTTACCTAACCTTGTAACCGAAAGGGTAATCTTCCGTTTTGAGATCATTTGACACTATCTCAGGTTTTTACAATGTAAACCATCTTACTCAACCTTGGGCTTCTCTAGTAAACTAAACATAGCTTTAATCCCTCTTAGCCCTCCCGGGCCCTGACCCTGGCAGGAATGTGTTAGGGAAACATCAACACTGAAAGGAGCAACGAATTGTCTCCTGCTTATATCGCAAATAACAGGCGGGGTTAGGCTGATGGTGGCCTGTGGCTGTTCTGGGTCAGTGGGGGTCAAACAGGGACCGTCCTCAAAAGGCAGGTTTCTCATTCTTTTCCCAAATCCTGCTGAGTAAAGACAGGGCCTGGCATGGGGGCCACACACCTTTAATCCCAGCACTCAGGAGGCAGAAGCTGGAGGATCTCTGAGAGATCAAAGCAAGCCTGGTCAACTAGCAAATTCCAGGCCTGCTGGGGCTACAGGGAGACCCTGCCTCAAAAAAAAAGGAAAAGAAAAAAATTTTAAAGGCAATGCAAGTCCTTTGTTCAAGAGGACAGGTCAGAGAAAAAAGCTGACCAATTCTCAAAACAGATTGAACTCACTCAGGAGTGGCACTGCCCACAGTGGGCTGGGCCCTCCCGCATCACTCAACAATCAAGAAGATGCCCCACAGACATGGCCACAGGCCAGTCCAATGGAGGCAATTCCCCAACTGAGGCTCCCCTTGCCCAGGTCTGTCAAGTTGACAACCAAAGTTGTCCAGCACAGTGGGCAGCCATGCTCACTTGCAGTCTGGCTCACTCTGCTTCCTGTGCCTGCTTGAGGAAGTGAGGGCCCAGCTTTCTGCTCCGGCCACTTCCTGCCGCCAGGATGAACACTCCCTCCCTTTGGAACTGTGAACCCAATAAACTTCCTTCTGTGAGTTACCTCGGTCATGGTGTTTTATCACAGCAGCAGACAAGTAACTAAAACACCTTCCTTTAGAACATCCTGTTGTTTACCTCCCTTCAGAACGTCCAGCTTCTAAGATGGAAGGTTTTTAACCTCCAAGGAAATTGCTTCACAGCCTTCCTACTGGCTGTAATTCTACCCTAGTTGCATGTGGGATCAGAGTCTCAGGGTCTCAGAAGGTGCTAGAGAATAAAGAACATGGTAGACCAACTGAAGGGTGAACTCCATCTATACTGTTACAGGGACATCATCCTCCATGCTGGGGTGAGGCTTTTCAGTGGTGCGGCTGCTTTGGGTCATCCCCACAGCTATAAGCAGCCCATGGTCTGAGTAAGTCCAATAAATTTACTGACTCACCAAGCTGGACTTTAGAGGTCTGTCAACAGTGCCCTATCTAGAACATGTTTGTCTGCCCGGGAGAAGTTCACGCAACAGTTCCATACATGCACGCACAGGCAAGGGCACCCCACATGCATACCTCATACACTTATAAAAAATTGTAACCTGGGTGTGGTGGTACACACCTATGATCTCAGCACTTTGGAGGCTGAGGCAGGAGGAAGCTGGGGACTTCAAAGCAAACCTGGGCTCTAAAGTAAGAGAAGTAACCAGTTAAGGGTACTGGTTACCCTGGCAGCCGACCTGGGTTCAGTTCCCAGTACCCACATGCCCACTAACAACATCTGCAACTCAAGTTTCAGGGAACCCAACACCCTCTTCTGGCCTTGGCAGCCATTGCATGTATGTGGTACACTTACATACACGAAGGCAAAACACTCATACACATAAAAATTAAAAATAAAATCACACTCATTCCCAGGCACGATAGTTAATGTCTGTTTTCCCAGCACTAAGGGTGTTAAAACAGGAGGATCCTGAGTTAGGGCCAGCCTGGGCTACATAGTGAGGATATTTCCAGGTTCCCCCAATAAATCTCTCTCTCTCTCTCTCTCTCTCTCTCTCTCTCTCTCTCTCTCCTATCTAAGCACTGTAAATATTTAATGGTGAACCTGAAGGAAAGAGGCAGAATGGCTATGTCCTCTGCTGCTGGAGGCCAGTCCCTCTTCACAGGAAACGCCAGGATGATCAGGTCACTCCCATCACAGAGCCATCACTAGATGGGATATGGATGTCTGGCAAGAGAGTTGAATCCCTCCCTATGAGACAGGAGCTTTGACTGCCTTCTCCAGATACCTTCCTCATCTGCCTGCGCCCTCCTGGGTCTCTGCTAGGCTTCCTGGGGCCATACTCCAGACCACAACCACACAGAAGTCCAGACCCCACAGGCACAGGCCAGGGTATGAGCCAAAGGTCCACACATGCAATGCATGCATAGGGGTTAAGTGTCAGGGTGGTCAGAAGGCCTGGGGCTCCTGCTTGTCTTTCCCAGAGCTGCCTCCTTCAGGGTCTCGACCGCCTCATGCCTGCCCTATTGACCCCTCAGTTAGGGTCTCCTCTCTGTTCACAGGGCACCCGCTCTGGACTGGCTCAGTTTCCTCACCAGGAGGCACCCAGCAGTCTCCTATCAACATCCGGCAGAGGGACAGCATCTATGATCCACAGCTGGCACCACTCAGGGTCTCCTATGACGCTACGTCCTGCAGGTGCATCTGGAACACTGGGTATTTCTTCCAGGTGGAGTTTGATGATGCCTCAGAGGAGTCGGGTGAGGCTGGGCTGGGGTAGGAGGAGTCGGGTGAGGCTGGGCTGGGGTAGGAGGAGTCCGGTGAGGCTGGGCTGGGGTTGGCCTTCAGGTTGGAGCACCTGGTCTTTAGCTGGTGGCTCTGTTTATCAAAGTTGTAAGGCCTTTAGGAGGTGTGGTCTTGCTGGAGAAAGTGGGTCACTAGGTCAGGTCCTGGGGGTAAGAAGTATCCATGGAGAGAGAGAGAGAGAGAGAGAGAGAGAGAGAGAGAGAGAGAGAGAGAGAACCTGTGTCCGTATGTATGAGAGTATGTGTATGTGCATGTGTATAGGTGTGTATGTGCACATGTGGAGGCCAGAGGTCAACCTAGGGTGCTGTTTCTCAGGTGCCATTCACCTTGTTTTCTGAGACCGAGTCCCTCTGTCTGGCCGGGGGCTCACCGCGTAGGATAGGCTCGTTGGCCAGTGAGCCCCAGATCTGCCTGCGTCCGCCTCCCCAGAAATGGGTTTGTCAACATCAGCACAATGCCCTGCTTCCTATGTGGATTCTGGGATTGGACTCAGAGCCTCATGCCTGTGTGACAAGCACTTCTGACCGCGCCATCTCCCGGGGGCTCTGGCTTCTTTGTGGCTGTGCCATTGCAGAAGTGCTCTGCCACACTGTCTGCATCACGATGGACCCTCTGGGTGTGGGACTAACTAAACCTGGAGCAAATTTTAAGTTATTGCTGTGAGGTAGTTGTTCACAGGAAGCCACGAGTCACTAGCACGGAGGCCCTTCTCTCTTCTGTGGCCTCGGAGGGGGACCAGAGCAGAGCCGGGTTGGAAGTGGGTGCTTACGTGAGAAGGCATGTCACCTGAGGTCACCTGAGCCTTGATGGCTCGTGAGGATGAAGGGGGCACAGAGTAGGGATCCTTCACATCCCAGGGCAGAAGCGAGCCAAAGAAGAGCCTGTGAGAGTTGGCAGCTGGCTTTCTGGGGCTGTGCAGGGGCTCAAGAGCAATGCTCCGCCAGGGTGGGTGTCTGCACTGCCGCCATCAAGCACCAGGGCACAGAGTCTCTGGAGGAGGTGGCAAAGAGTCTCAGAGTCACTCTGAGTGCCAGCACTGGCCAGTTGTACCTCCTCCCACCCTCCCGTTCTCCTCCCTGTCAGTCCCATTCTCTTTCTCTCTCTCTCTCTCTCTCTCTCTCTCTCTCTCTCTCTCCCCCCTGTCACTCCCTCTCTCTCTCTCTCTCTCTCTCTCTCTCTCTCTCTCTCTCTCTCTCTCTCTCTCTCTCTCTCCAGGGTCTAGTGTAGCCCAGTCTGGCCTTATTCCCTATATAGTGAAGGATGACTTTGAACTCTTAAAATTTCTTATTACATTTATTTATTTAGTGCTTATGTGTAGCCGTCCTACCTGACTCTGCCCTGTAGCGGGGTGTGGAAAAGAGAAAGGGGAACGTTCCACAGCACCATGGACTGTGGCTCAAGAATAGAGCTGGAGAGCCGGCTGTCAGAGTCCCGGTCTGAAGACCCCAGCTGACCTGGGCCAACCCCTTACTGATGCTCCATAGCCCACGGCCTTGTGCAGTCTGCAGGCAGCAGGCCTCCTGCTCTGACCTCAGCCTAACCCCACTCTTGGCTTCCCAAGTTCCCCATCTGGATCAAAGGGATGCGTCCCACCCTGCCACAGACAGAAGGAATCACCCGGTGTCTCTCCTGTCTTATAAACTAACTGCATACCCCTGAACTCACACCCACCCTAGCCAATCTGCTTTCACTTTATTCATCCTGGGCTTCGGCTTCCCTTGCCTGGCTCAAGTCCCCTCTCTCCACATTTTCTGTCCTCTTCATTCACCTCCATCAGAAATCAGGAGCAGAGGATGGAAAACTCAGCCTGAGGAGGAGGGTGTTGACTGGATGGAAAGGACAAGACAGAAAGTGGCAGGAAACAATCCCTCCGGTGAAGTGCAGGGTCTCAGCTTCCCTGAATGACCACCAGAAACTGCAATCAATTACCACCAGGGGGCACTGGGAGACTGCAGGGGGGCTCTTCCTGGTGGGTGCAGCTGTTGCTGTCAGCAGGGCAAATAACAGGCCAACTCAGCCCATGAATGGCCTGAGGCCACAGTCAAAAGGGCTGGCTGACGGGGCAGTGCTGAGGCAGTGGAGAAACAGGGACGGAGATGGAGGGCAGAGGAGGGGAGAGGAGAGGGGGAGGCGTCACCAGGAGAGCGGTAGACATGCCCAAAGACAGCACTGTCGAGCCAGCTCAGCATGGAAGCCAGGCACTCTGGGGTAGCTCACCTTCTTCCCCGAGGGGTGGAGATGGGGCGGAGGAGGGCACGAGAGAATGCGAAAGAACAGCGAGCTGCCCCAGGAACAGAGAGGGCAGTTTGTGTGTCCCCATGCCCTGCTTAACAGTGGGGGACGTGAGTGGTCAGCCATGTGAACCTCAGTGTCCTCCTCTGGTTACTGAAGCTCCATGCTGGTCCCACGAACTGAACGAAGAGGGCATGTGACACCGCACTGGAAAATAAACTTTCAGAAAAGGACGGCTTCACAGACTGGTTCCCTCCAGATGCTGGCTGCGTGGTTTTTGGAAGCTGTCCACTAGAGGGAGCTCCAAGATGGACAGTGGAGAGGATGCTGGCCCAGTCCAGGGCCCAAGTGGGGCTTCTTCCATCTTGGAGGACGTGCACTTCGAGTGGAATCTGCCCAGTCAGCTCAAGGAGGCAAAACGGATACCAGGAGCCTGGTGGCCATACTGTGGCTCCTGTGACAGTGACAGGCAGGAGCTGCTGATGCTCCTTCCATTGCTGGAGTGAACACACTGTAAGTCACTCTGTGCCAGTCTTGGCAGGAAAGAAGATATTCCGGAGCCACCGAAGCCATAGACCTCAAAGAATGAAAATGTTCCCAGGAATCCCAGGCTGAGGGGAGGGAAAGGCTGGACTCTGGTGCCAGCCAGAAAAGAAACTGGCCTCCCAGGAGATTTCACACAGGTCTGACAACTTGTCAGACCACTTTGCAGGACAGGCTGGAGCAGAGATAATGAACTTGAGCAGAGCTGTTTGTTTATGCTTACCTCTTGGCTGTATTTAAATATAAACCTCATGTCAGGACCCCAGAGATGGACTTTTAGGTTGTTGGACCTCTTTCTTCCTCACCCACACTGAATAAATCTCTACTTTTCATTATTTGTCTCTTTAAGCAGGATATTGGGGGTGAGAGGCTGAGCCCTGCTTGTTGGGGCCACCAGGACTTTAACTGTAAAAACTAGTAACATCTCCACAGTCCACCACAGCCTCTGATCCTCTAAGTGATGACTGATAGTCATCATCAAAGTCAGGTGACCCCAGGGCTACAGGATTCCCAAGACCCCAAGTCCAAGGGTGCCACTGGCCATCACAGAATCAGCTCCCTGTGCACACAGTAGGAGCTCAATAGATGTCTGTGTGAGCTTAAAGTTCACAGACTTGACTTCTGTCAGCCAGAGATCTCCGGCCGTAGGTCAGAGAAAGATCCTGGTAGAATAAGCCAGAAGGAAGCACCCAGAAGAATTGAGGCTCCTACCTGGACCCGTGGCCCAGGGACAGGGGAGGAAGCAGTCTCCTTCCTGGTCTCTCTGGTCCCTGAAATGTTTCTTGACAGGCATAAGTCCCGAGGGAGCCCTCTGAGGTCCTAGCTAGGTGAGGTGCCTGCAGGAGCTGTCCCTACTAGAAAGAAGGCTTGAAGGACCCCTGAGCCTCATCAGTGGGGTATGGACGAGTGGGAAAGAGGAAACACTTGGAAGGGAGCCCTGGTCTGCCAAGGACGCCTGTCCAAAGGCAACTCCTTAGCTTGGGATGGAAAACATGACCCTGTCACTTTTTAAAACTTTTTATTTAGTATTATTATTGTGTGTGTGCATGATGTGTGTGGGGACACACATGCGCACATGTGCAGTTGGAGGACAACTTTATGTGGGTTCTGGAAATCAAAATCGGATAGCCAGACTTGCACAGAGAGTACCTTTGCCTGCTGAGCCATCTGGCCTGCCTGGCTCTGATGCTTTTATCCTGGGGCCCTTTTCACTGAAATTCATGAGTTGGGAACCCTGTCCCTAAAGCAAACACAGAGGGCTCCCTTGGGGCTCTACGTCAGTGAGAGGAGTGTGTCCTGAGAAATCTGTCAGGTGGTCCCAAGAAGGCCACATGTCATCTCACCAGGCCATCAACATACAAGTAGTCTCATGCAGACCAAAACTTCACCCCCTGCATAGTGTCCATTTGGAACTGTGGTTCTGTGACACTTCAGGTCCCCGCCCCACAGCACCCTTGCCTGGAACAGTGTTCCTAGCCAAGGTTCTCCTTCTTACCAGCAATGGGCCAGTGCCCAGTTCAGACTGGAGAGGACAGGCCGGAGACTGTACCGTTCTCACCCCTCTCCCACCCTCGTGTGTGGCAGGGCCTGGGTCTCAGGGAAAGAGTGTTGTCTTTTTGCTCAGAACGCGTCTCTCAGATGGTACGTGCTCTTTCTTGCCCGTCCCTATTTCTTGCTTCCTTTCGCTGTTCTCTCTTTCTCCCACCCACTTGGTCTTTAGACACAGAATCTCACTATGTAGTCTGGGTTCACCTCAAACTCCAGATAGCCTCCTACCTCAGTCTCCCGAGAGCTAGGATTGGAGGTGTGTGTCGTCACACCTGGCTCCTAATTCACATTTTAGTGAGGTGCATTTGTCCATTGATGTCTTTTTAAAAATGTTTTAACTGATTTTATTTTATGTGTATGAGTGTTTTGCCTTCACGTATGTACCACATATGTGGAGGCCAGAAAGACGGCGTCGGATGCCCTGGAACTGGAGTTACAGACAGTTGTTAGCCCCCATGTGGGTACTGGGGACTAACCTGGGTTCTCTGTAAGAAGAGTCAGTGCTCTTAGCCACAGAGCTATCTCTCCAGCCCGGTCTGTCAAGGTCTTTACCTGGGGGGCTTTAGTGATGGTAACATTTTCAGTAGCCACAATAACACCCTCAGCAGTGAGCGGCCGTGGGTCACCAAGCCCCTGGGTGGGGGGGGCGCTTACATCTGACCTTTGCCTTGTTCCCGTGAAGCAGGTGTCGTCCTTCTACAAATGTCACATTCAATACAAACAGAGGAAGCATCGTGTGCAAAACTACACTGTGTGGCGGCTGGAGCTGGGCTTGGGTCGGCCTGGTTTTCAAACTGGAGCCTATGTGTTATGACCTTGGAGCCTCTCCCCCAAGGGCATAAATGAGGCTCCCTCACCCCAGAGTTCTGAATGACTTGTGGTACCCCTTGAGCACCCACAACATGCTGTTGGCTACAGCCTGTCCCCACCCAGAGAGGATCAGGAAGACCTGTCAGGGCAAGGGGTGTGAAGCCCTTGGGCCTGGGCCTCAGAGCTTGGCAACTGGTTACATTCTGGGGTGACATAGAACAATTGAGCCTCACAGCTTGGCAGCTAACTAGATTCTGGGGTAACACTGGAACACTCTAGCCTCCGCAAGATCTGCTATTCATGGTTCAGACTAACGAGAACATCTCAGATTTCTCTTGTGCTAATTTTAAGCCCCAAAGCAGCCATGGTGCCTGCCAAAAGCCTGCTCTTGTCCTGGGAAAGACCGGTAACTACAAATAGGCGGCTGTCAGGAGCGGCTGTTCTAACAGAGGAGGCCAGGCAGCCCAGGATGCTCTCGGCCTCGAATGTCACTTGTTATTTTATTTGAAGGGTCTGACACTGGCTGATGCAATTGCCCAATTTTATCTTCATTATCTCAGATGCACCTGCTCTCAGAGAACGTGGGGTGACAGATGACCAGGCCTGGGTGGACAAATCTGTTGCTGGCAGTCCGAGAGCCAGAGGCTGCAAAGCTAAAGGCCTCTTTCCAGAGACCTGACCTGTCTCATTTTTAACTAATCACTGTATTATCACTATGAAAAATCAGTTATACATTCTTCTACCTGAGTCTGTAGCCTTACCCTAGGTTCCTTTTTAAAAAAACTTTAAAAAAATCTTATTTATTATTTTTATTTTATGTGTATGCATGTATTGCCTGCATGTAGGTAAGTGTACCTGTGTCATGCAATGCCCAAGGAGGTCAGAAGAGGCTGTCAGATCCCCTGGGACTGGAGTGACGGACAGTTGTTAGCTGCCATGTGGGTGCTGGGATTCAAACCTGGGTCTTCTGCAAGACCAGCCAGTGTTCTTAACCACTGAGCCATCTCTCCAGCCCCTAGGTTCCTTACTTCTAAGAAAAGTAACACTGTTTGTCTTTGAATGCTGTGACCAAAGCCAATAGGCTGATGTGCCCAACAGACTGGGGCTTGGGTGGCCGGATGACCTGGGGCAGGTGCCTTAACTCCCAGGTCTCAGCCACCTCATCTTAAAGTTGGGCTCCCAGAACCTGCTTTGCAAGGTCATCCATTGGGGAACAGCCCAGCAGGTGCCTAATCAGTGCGTGCTTGTCAGTTGCCCTGTGGTATGAACTGAGTGTTCACCACAGATGGCTTCGTGAACCCAAGACATGGCCAGTGACACCTGTTTCCAGCAATCTCACCCCAAACACGTGTTGTCTTGACTCTATTGGATGGGGAACCCGAGGCTGAGAGGAATGAAGCTCTAGGTGGGCCAGGATCACATCTGCAGGAGGGCTCCAGCTTAAGCCGGTCTGCCTGCAGACCCCGTCCTGATTGCAGAAAGAGCCTGGAAGGGCTCATCTGCAGCCTTTAAATAAGCACACTTGCCATTTTGCTGCAGGCTGTCTCTGCCGTCGGGACTAATTTTGGAAACATTGTCACAGTGAGAATTTTATGTTCCAACTTGAAAGGGCGCAAGACAGCTGCATGTGTGCATTCCGGGATGAGAAGGCTACACGCATTCTGATCATAGTGCATGCTGGGCTCAAAGAAGGAGCTAGGCCCTGGGTCCCAGAGATCAGAGATCCCCAGATTACTGGTCTTTCTCTCCCCAATTCGGTACCCAGAGCTCAGTTGACAGAGTGCTTCCTGGCATGCACAATGCCCTGAGATCATCTCTGTCAACACATAAAACCAGGTGTGATAGTGCACACCTGTAATCCCAGACTTCAGGAGGGTCAGGAGTTCAAAGTCATCCTCAGCTACATGCAGAGTTTTAGGTCAGCCAGGGTTACATGAGACCCTGTCTCACAAGAAAAGAAAATCTTGGAAACCCTGATAGGATCCCCATGCGTCTCAGATGCATATTTCTGTAGTGGCCTGTGCAGGAAGTCGAGGTCTTTACCGCCATCTAGTGGCAGCGCTGAGACCTGGCGCTCACCCCAGGGTTTACTATGAACCTGCTGGGCTGGCACTGGGCCAGACTCTAGGGATCGAAGTGACCAGGTCAGACCAGGCCCCACTTTTCACAGAACTTCCTGTATCAGGCCCTTGGAAACGGGGCGGTGCTGCCCCCGTGTAGACAGTGCTGGGGCAACATTAACACACTTCCCTGCTCTGTTTGCAGGGATCAGCGGTGGGCCCTTGGAAAACCACTACAGGCTGAAGCAGTTCCACTTCCACTGGGGTGCAGGGAACGAGTGGGGCTCGGAGCACACAGTGGATGATCACATGTATCCAGCAGAGGTTGGTAGATGTCACTGAACAGCACATATGTGACCAGTCTCCCCAGTGCCCAGACAGGAAGGATTTCCAAGGACCTGGGCTTCCCATGAGTCAAGGAGAACACTTAGAGCTGGTGGACCCACTTCATCACAGCCTGTCCTAAGAGGAGGGTGTGCTATAGGTGCTCCATTCACGGAAGACACAGAGGTTCTAAGAAGAGCTGTAGCTCACTGACACTCTGCTCACTGCACCTGAGGGCTAGTGTAGGATCTCCTGTTTGTCTTCCTCTCCTCCTCTTCCTCCTCCCCCTTGTTCTCATCATCATCTCTTTCCTCCTCCTCCTCCTCCTCCTCCTCCTCCTCCCCTCCTCCCTCCCTCGGCGCCTTCTGCGTCGGCTCCGTGTCCCCCTCCTTGTTCTCCTGCCCCTCCTCCCCCTCCTCCTCCCCTTCCTCCTCATCCTCCTCCTCCTCCTCCTCCTCCTCCTCCTCCTCCGTGCTAAAGATGGAGCCCATCCTTGAGCCACAGCTCCAGGCAGAGATCATCTTCCTATAGATTGCATCTTCAACATCCTAAGTGAAGGGAAAATTCACAGAAGAATGTTGGGAGTTGGCTCTGTAGTTGTGACACACGATGGGCAGTGCCTAGGGACCTCCCAACTTTATATTATAAAAATTTCCAACATACAAAAGAATGGGGAGACCTAGTCATCAGTAACCCATGGGATCCCCCTCCCAGCCCTAGAATGGTTGATTTGTCATATTCACTTTGTCACCCCTCCACCCATCCCCTCCCCTGCCAATTCCTCTGCTGCCCACCCCCTCCTCCTCCCATCCCCTCTGCCCTCCAGTCTGTCGATTCCCAGCCCTGGATGTTCATTTCATCCTTTTCTGGTTGTGGAAGTGATGCGGTGGTTCAGATAGAACCAAAGTCCAGCTAAAGCCACAGATGACATCCATGACCTGTGTCTAACATGGACACACAGCAGCCTTCTGTTCCACCTGTCTTCACACTGCAGTGGCACACGTGGCCACTAGAGGGCACAGAGGGACCATTTTCATCCCCTGGCAGTCCTTCTAAGCAGCTCTCGGTGACTTTGTTCTTGTGGCTAGACACCACCACTGAGAAAGGTCCCTATGGGGGACCTTTGATGAGCGAGTTGGGCCCCACCCAGCCTCCCTAGGTCAGGCCCAGCCCTTCCCTGCTGGCTGTGTCGTGATGGGGAGCGAGGAAGGAAATCAGGCCCCAGGCAAAGCCAGGGTGTATAGACTAAGATGCTCAGCTGAGAGACCAAAGGGACTGGATTATCCCCTCTCTGAGACTTGGAACTGCATTCTGGGAAGACTCCACCCTGCTGGTCGCAGATGCCACGGCCAAGGAGTAAAGACCCAGAGTTCCCAGCAGGGCCCCAAATAGCAACAGAGAGTGCTTGATGCTCATAAGACATGAAAGATTTGCTGGGCCTCATTCCTGAGGACTCAGGGCTGGTCACAGCTCATGTGCTTAGGAGAAATGGGGTCCTCCTCTGTATCCAAGGGGTTCTGGAACACCCATGGGTACCAGAACCTTCAAATAAAGTGCTGTCATAGTTTCCCATAACCCATACACATCCTCCTGGATCCCTTCAGTCTTATCTCTAGGTCCTGGGTGCACTGTGAACACCGTTTGAGTAGTTGTTGCTGGTTTTTTCATTTGGAGATTAAACGAGAAAAGCCCAGTCACACGGCACAGAAGCAGCCTTTTATCCCAAATAGCTTCTACCTGTAGTTGGTTGAATCTACAGATGCAGAATCCATGGGAGGGGAGGGCTGACCAGACAGATACCAGATATCCAGACCCCTCCAAGATGAAGCCATGGTCTTGTTACAACGCCCAGTCAGGCCTAGGGTCCCGGATGACGCCAACTCTCCACTCCCCCACTGAGGACTCGCCCTCAACAGCCGTGCCCACTCCCGTGTGAAGTCCATACTCCCACATCCACATTAGAAAAACTGAAGCAGGAACATAAAGACAAGATTTCAAGGTCAGGAGTCAGGTACATATTAGGGATGTTCCCACACTGACACTGTTCACTTCTGACAGTCCCAGATATTAGCTGATGGCCCTTGTTCAAAGTGACTCATAGGTACAAATAATTAAACAACCCACTTCTGTCTGGCGAATGCAGAATCTAGACTCGTGGGAGACGTGCCCCTGAGCATGCCTGTGGGGGATTATCTTGATTACATTAACTGACATGGGAAGCCTGTGGGAGATTATTTTGATTATATTAATTGACGTGGGACAGCCCCTATAAATTTCGGGCAGGACTATTCTCTGAGTGTGGGGCAGGGGTCCTGGACTGTATAAAAGGGGAAGGGGCACTCAGAAGGAAGCATCCGTGCATTCACCATCCTCTTCTGACGGCGGGTGCAATGTGACCAGTTGCCTCAAAGATCCCCCTGCCTTGACTTCTTGCCATGACGGACTGTACCTTGAACTGAAAGACCCTTTCTCCTTTTGGTTGCTTTTTCGTTTTACTTATTATTTTTATGTTATGTGTATGAGTGTATTGCCTGCATGTATGTAGGTGCACCCATGTCATGCAATGCCTCTGGAGGTCAGAAGAGGGCGTCGGATCCCCTGGAACTGGAGTTATGGATGGTTGTTCGCTGCCATGTGGGTGCTGAGAACCAAACTCTGCAAGAACAGCCAATGCTCTTCACCACTGAGCCGTCTCTCCAGCCCCAATGGTTGCTTTTACTAGGGTGCTTTATCACAAGAGGAAAAGCAGCAAAAATGTACTGGTTAGTTCTTGTCAATCTGACACAAACCAGAGTCACCTGGGAAGAAGGAACCTCGACTGAGGAACTTCCTCCATCAGATTGGCCTGTGGCCATGTCTGCAGGGTCTTTCCTTAATTGCTAATTGATGTAGGAGGACCCAGCCCACTGTGGGTGGTGCCATTGCTAGGCAGGTGGTCCTGGGCAGGTGGTCCTAGGCTGTACAGAAAGCTGCGCACAGGCTGGAGGAAGTAAACCAGTAAGCAGCATTCCTCTGTGGTCTCTGCCTCTGGTTCCTGCCATGAGCTCCTGCCCTGACTTCTCTCAGAGATGATCTGTGAGCTGTCAGCCCAATAAACTGTCTCTTTCCCAAACTGGTTTGGTCAGCATTTTATCACAGTAACAAAAGAAGAAAAGCAGAGATATAAGACAACTGTCCTCCCCTTCCCTGCACTCAGGGACAGGAAGCTCTCACCACCTGCGTTTGGGAGCACCAAGGGCTCCGGCCACCAACACTTAGCACGTTGACATTGTGACAGACAGAAGGTAGAGTACTGCTACTTCCCGGAGCGTTCGAATACCTTTACATCCTCTTCCCACTGTGTTTCAGCTGCATCTGGTCCACTGGAATTCCACAAAATATGCAAATTACAAGGAAGCCTCAGTGGGGGAGAATGGACTGGCAGTGATTGGAGTCTTTCTGAAGGTAAACACTGGCTGGGCATGGCTCTCCCACAGAGAAGGCCAGCTGCTTCTTCAGTCGTGAAGAATGGCCTTCTGCACACAGTCCTCTGAAAGCAAGGTATGTTTTCACTACCTGCAGGCTTCCAGGCTAACGCTCCTGTGTCTGTGCTTTGCAGCTTGGGGCCCAGCACGAGGCCCTGCAGAGGCTAGTGCACATCTTGCCGGAAGTAAGGCACAAGGTGAGAGAGAGGACATCAGCAATGTGGACGGCCAAATTGTCAGAGCCATGCATGAGTCCAGTGGATTGATTAGTTTGGTGAAAAGCTTGGCAGAGTGTTTGGGGTTCTAGAAACGGAAGTCAAGAGGTGCCCTGAACTTAATTTAAAAGCTGCTCTCTGAACCCTAAGTGTGGCACATGCCTATAATCCCAGCATCTGGGAAGGCTGTGGCAGGAGGATTGCCAAGAGTTCAAAGCCATCTTGAGCGATATAGTAAGTTCTAGGCCAGCCTGGAGTGAGACTCTAAAAACAAATAAGAATGGGGCTGGGGATGTAGCTCAGTTGGTAGGATGCACACCTACCCTGCACAGAGCCCTGGGTTCCATCCCCACCACTGCATAAGCAGGGTGTGGTGGGGGCACCTGTAATCTTAGGAGTTGGGAACAGGAGGTCGGAAGTTCAAGTCATCCTTGAGATATGTGAGATCCTGTCTCAAACAAGAAGGAGGAAGAAGAGGAAGGGGAGGAGGAAGGGGAAGGGGAGGAGGAAGGGAAAGGGGAAGAAGGAGGTGAAGGAAGAGGAGGAAGAGGAGGAGGATGAGGAGGAGAAAAAGAATATGGCATTGCCCATGTCCTCCTTTGCAAGATGAGGCTTTTGGACTCCTTGGGGTTCCCCAAGTCCTGCCTTCCAGGCAATCTGAGCAGCTTCTAGAACAGTCTAAACTCATCTGCCCATCAGTGGGTCTACTGTTCACTTAATATTTTTCTCTACACAAATTTGCTCTTGTCTTGCCCAAGGCAGACATCCAGTTGGGATAAAGTCTGTGTTAAAGCAGACTGCTGCTGACCTGTGAGAACGTGGACTGTGTGCCATCAGTGCTCACGGAAAGAGCTTAAGTAAAGTGTGTGTGCTGAAGGACATCGGGGACCCGGGGAAGGGGGAAGTGCACAGGCCAGTGGCAGGGCCCAGGGCTCATCCTAAGGTGACTGGACATTCTTTATATACTTTGGAACATCAATACAGGCAGTGTGAGGGACTTATGATGGCTTTTCTTTACAATCAAACCAGAAGAGACTTTGATGGAAAAGTGGAAATCCAAAGAGATGGGTTTATTTATTCAGCACCACACCAAAGAATTCTGAAGCGGAAGGAAGCAAGGTGGCCCTTAGACGTGGGACATGGGGACAGAGGAGGGTTCCACTTGTCTTAACAATGGTGAGAGCCGCCCTGCAGGAAAGCATGGCCAGCCCTTCCTCAAGGCTTACAAGAGCTTTTGATCTGTGCCTTGTCTTACCTTGATGTTGAGGTCCGGATGCTCCATGGGATGGAGGCAGATCATCCCCCACCACCCCCAATGTTCTGTCTGCCTATTCGGGAACACCTCAAGGCCAAGGTGCTGAGCACCCAGCTCCTCTTCCTCCATGGCACACAGCCAGAACAAAGCTGGGGTGTGGGATGTTTCCCTAGCTGGCCTCTGCCTCTCAAAGAAGTTAGAAAAGAGCTGGCTGGGGAGTTCTGTTTACTCAGGGTCTGTTTGCCTTCCAGGAAGGCGCTGGAGTTAGTCTCCCTCATAGACTGGCCACAGGGGAGATACTGGCTCGGGGACTCAGTTCTGGCCCCATCAGGCACCTTCCCTGAAAATAACCAATTAGACTGGCTAATTAAAGGACTTTAAGACTTGAAAAGTCCAGCCTTAGAGGGCTCCCCAGGCCAAAGACTGGAAGAGACTCGAGGTCCTCTGGTCCAGTGGTTCCCAGTTTGCAACCTAGGGCTTCTGAGGGTTCATAGTGTATAGTAGAGACCCTCAGTCAAGATGCCCTGGGTCCAAGGTCCAGACCAGCCAGGAAGCTGTGTGGTTTTGAGCCAGTGACTCAACCTTTCAGAATGCCAGTTTCCCTGCCTGTGAAGTACAGATATTAGGAATGAACGTGTGAGCGTCCTGTTTTCCGACTGAAGGAGGCGAGTGCTCTGTTGGTCCTCAGTAAAATGGTTGGTCCAGGCCCCGACCATGTGGAAACGAAGAGTAAGGCTCACAGACTCATTTACTGTAGTGGTGTGGGGTAGGGGCAGGGAGGGGACTGTGGCACGTGATGAGGTGGGCTGCCTCCAGATGCTGACCTCAGACCTTCCTGTCATGGTAGAGCATCCGTGGTTGGTTCTCAGAATGCTCCTACCTCATAGAGTCCATCAGACTTTAAGATGCTGGGATTGTGGTGACTTGGGGCACAGTGGGGGTGTGGAAGGAGGAGGCATGGGTTAGGTGGCTGTAGGCTCAAACCCCAGCTCTGGGATCATCCACTCAGTAATCCCATCATCCCTGAGGAGAGTTTACCCTGGCTATGGGCTCCGTCCCCCTGGGATTTGGCAGCCCAGAATACAATGACCTGGTTCCAGCTGGACAGCCCTTCTGGGGTGTGGGGTCTCCCTGGATGCTGGATCTTCAACTTAATCAGAAAGCCCCCAGTATACACCCCATCTCTACCATGGTCCTCAGCACAACAGCCCCAGGTTGAAGGGACTCTGGGGGCTTCTAAGCACATGTTTCCAGAAAGATCCAGGTGGGCTCAGTACTCTTTTATACCCTGGCTGGCTACCAAGCCTCACTCTTCCATAGCCATCCACCACCCAGCCTCTGCATCTTCGTACTTCTAAGGTGGAGGACACTGTCCCTACACTTTGCTGGGAGAGGGTGCAGAAATGACGGCATGCCACATGATCACCTCATCACTTTCCTGATAATCCTATGAAGTGGGTCTCTCCTGTACCCCCAGGGACACTAGGGCTCAGAGAAGTGAAGGACCCTGCCTTACAGCATGCAGCTAGTAGAGTTTAGCTCAGGTTAGGCCTTAACACCTAACCACACCATCATACAGACTGTGCTGCCCCTGGAACATTCCATCAAGTGACCTTCCCAGATCAGTCCTTGGATGCCCCGACCCAGGAGACCATTGATGTCCTGTTTCCTGTGTTTGGTGTCATGGAGCTCTGTGAACAACCTTGCTTCCTCCCTCTGTGGGCTGTGCATAGTGGGAAACTGACAACTCACTGACACGTCAGCAACTTTGACACAGTGCAGGCCATCCACTAGCTGTGATGGATGGCAGGGTCCAAAGCCCATCCACAAACTCACAGTGTCACATTCCATCCAGGGCCCTGGGTAGAGCGGCCTTGCGCAGGCTCACAGCTGCTCTGAGCAGCTAAGCAGCATGCAGAGGCCGCAAATATGCACACTTCCTCCCGTCTAAGGACTTACCATTTAACTGACAAGAGAGGGGTTGGTGCCCCCTTCTGTGTGATCCTGCAGTCCTGGTGTGGAGGGAGTCTGTCCTCCGGAGGGAGCTTGGGCTGCGAAGGGACCCAACCTCTCTAGATCTGGGTTCTGCCTGGCTCTGGGTAGGTCATTTATGTCTGTGCACTGGGAATCTTTCCCAAAGGTTGTCTGAAAATTCAAGTATCAGCTTCTGAGACGGGAACCTGAGCAGGAAATGGGTTCCACTCCTGCACCTGAGGCACTACCAGCAGATGGGCCCATCCCACGTGTAACCTGTGTCTCTCAAAAGCAGTCATGCATGCACCTGGAGACCTATCTGCAGTGAAGTAGGTCCCCAAGGATGTGCAAGAGGCGAGTGCCAGGGGCTGTGCGACAGCTCAGTAATAAGAGTGCGTACTGCTCTTCCAGAGGGCCTGAGCTGGGTCCCCAGCACCTGTATCAGGTGGCTCACGACCCCTGTAACTCCAGCTCCAGAGGATCCAATACCCTCTTCTGGCCTCCATGGGTACTGCACTCATGTGTACAAACCCACATGGACACGCACACACATACACATGATTAAAAATAAAACCTTTAAAAAGAGACAGGTGCTGGTCACAGGGGCCTTGATTCTGACCCAATCCTCCTTCACCTCCATCAAGTCTTTTCTAAATATTCACTTGGTGAGGCTTTCAGGGTCACTTTTTTTTTTTTTAAGTGTATGAGTGTATTGCCTGCATGTATGTAAGTGCACCCGTGTTGTGTAGTGCCCAAGGAGGTCAGAAGAGGGCATCAGATTCCCCTGGAATTGAAGTTACAGATGGTTGTTAGCGCCATGTGAGTGCTGGGAATCGAACCTGGGCAGAACCACTCTTCTGAAAGCACCAACTGACTCCACCCCTGTCTCATTCCCACTCCTCTAATTTTCTCTGTCAGACTCAGTGTTCAAAGTGTAACCTGCTAGATATTTTACAGATTTCTTCTGTGTGACCTCTGCAAAGGTGGGCAGCTGTCTCCCTTCCTCTGCATCCCCAACACCTGAGGCAAAGTCAGACTTACCATCAGCTCAGCAAACACTCCCTATGCAGATCTGCCTGCCTCTGCCTCCAGAGTTATGGGACTAAAGGCTTGCACCACCACGCCCAGCTCCTCCCTATTGTTTTATGAAATCCAGAAAGCAAATGAGCATGACCTGTGAACACGGGGCTTGAGGGGAGGCTGGGTAGTCAGGAGCCATCTTGAGTACAGAGAGCTCCAGCAGGATGGTCCCGGGCAGCTGTTGTGGCCTCGATCCCACCTGTGAGAGGGAAGAATGTGAGAGTCAGGGGGTCCTCTCAGTATGGAGGGTGCTTATGTCTGGCTGCCTGAGAGAGATGCATAGCTATGTGAAAGCTGTAAGACTTTGGTGCAGCCACAGTGAGAAGCACCATGGTGGTGCCTTAAAAATTAAAACCACAGGGCTGGAGAGATGCTCAGCGGTTAGCAGCACTGGCTGACTTGTAGAGGACTGGGTTCAGTTCCCAGCACCCACATGGCAGCTAACAACCATCCCTAACTCTTTTTCCAGGGGATCTGATGCCCTCTTCTGACCTCCGATGGCATTGCATGACACAGGTGCACTTACATACATGTAGACTGTATACTCATACACATAAAATAAAACCAAAAAGAATTGCCATCTGATCCTGCAATCCTACATATAGGCATGTACCCTGAGATCTGAAAGTGACCCCCGAACACACCCACATGTACTGGCAGCACTGTTTAAGATAACCAGGAGGAGGAGGCAGGCCATGTGCCCACCCATGGGAAATGCAAACGGAGCCTGGTCTAGCCTCATGGTGGATGATACTCATAAGACAGAAGGTCATGCCAAGCACCACAACTCATGTCAGTAATCCCAGCACTCAGGAGGTGGAGGCAGAAAGATCAGCAGTTCATCCTTGCCTATATAGAGAACTTGAGATTGCCCTGGGCCACATGAGACCCAGTCTCATAAAAAAACAAAAACAGCTGGGTGCAGTAGCGCACGCCTTTAATCCCAGCACTCGGGAGGCTAAGGCAAGTAGATCTCTGAGAGTTCAAGGCCAGCCTGGTCTACATAGTGAGTTCCAGGACAGCTGGGGCTACAGGGAGACCCTGTTTAAAAAAAAAAAAACAGAAACAAAAAGAAGTTCTGACCCCCTACCCGTGAGGGTGCAAGGATCAGTGGAGAAGATGGAAAGTTCTTGAGATGGATGGACGTGATGACTGTACAATGTGGATATTCCTAACCACCTTTAACCGCATTCTTAAATGGCAAGAAATGGTCACACATATGCATATGTGTGTGTGTGTGTGTGTGTGTGTGTGTGTAATACAGCCCGCGGAGTTTCCCAGTCAAGGTATTTCAAAGTATGTATAAATGATGCATGACTCTATAAGGAAAAATATAAACATTTAGTGAGAGTCTTTTTTTTGTATAGAAAGGTCACATTTTCTTTGTTTTTAAATTTTAATTTTTTATTATTTTTAATTATGTGGGGGGGGTATGTGCATGTGAGTGCAGGCGCCTGAGGAGGCCAGAGGCATCAGATATCCCCCCAGATAGAGTTATAGGCAGTGAGCCACTTGACGTGGTTGCTGGGAATGGAACTCAGGTCCTCTCCAAGAGCAGCAACAAGTGCTCTTAAGCATTGAGCCACCCCTCCATCCCAGGCCACATTTTTTTTCCATATCCACATATGATGGTGGAGGGCACATAGCCTTTATTCTGGCACCAGAGAGGTGCTCCGTTCCTTTCTGCCTCCATGCTCCAGCCCTGATCGGTCTGTGGTTCTTGCTCTCAGGATGCGCAGGTGGCAGTAGGCCCCTTTGACCCCTCTTGTCTGCTGCCCACCTGCCGGGATTACTGGACCTACAAGGGCTCCCTCACCACCCCGCCCTTGGCAGAGTCTGTCACCTGGATCATCCAGAAGACGCCCATTGAGGTAGCCCCAAGCCAGGTGAGTGCTGTCGTTGAGTCAGCCCTGGGGGAGGCCGTTCTTCATGGGTCCCTTCACCAAGGATCAGGGCAGGGCATCATGGACTCCATTCTTTGACACGTGTGTGTGCATGCATCCGTGTATGTTCTCGTGTGTGAGGGTGAACATAGGGATTATAAACATGCATGTGTGTACATGTGTGTTGTGGAGGCCAAAAGTTAACCCCTGATGTGATCCCTCAAGGGATGACGACTGTTTTTTGTTTTTTTTTTAAATTTTACGTGTGTGCGTGTATTGCCTGCGTGTAGGTAAGTGCACCCATGTCGTGCAATGCCCGCGGAGGTCAGAAGAGGCTGTTGGATCCCCTGGACTGGAATTACGCACAGTTGGTAGCTGCCATGTGGATGCTAGGATTCAAACCCAGGTCTTCTGCAAGAACAACCAGTGTTCTTAACC